TTCAGTCGTCGCTCGGCCATCGGTCGGCTGTCAGGGAACTCGAAATCGTCTTGTTTCCACAGCAGCCCTGTCTCGAATTTTCCGTCCGTCTTCCGTATCGTCGTTCCTTCAAGGATCAAGCGCGCCCGTTGATCATCCTTGCCTTCCAAATTCGGTGCAACGGCGACACCTATGCTTTCCACCGAGAAGAATTCTCGAACGTAATTATGTAGATCGAGCTCGGTTAATTCCGCACAAATGTGCATCTGACGATGTAGAAACTGATTCTCTTCACCACGCAGACAACCGCAAACAACCCATCCGATGCGAGTTTTTGCAGCAATAGGCTCTTGCTCCTTCCCTTCACGTATTTTGGCAGTATTTAGTAGATGAATATTATTTACTCCAATCAGCAGTCCTGGCGTAGCCCTCTGGAAACTCTTCACCGGTAAACGTTGTAGGTGCTTGTACTGTTTAGCTAACTCATCTACATCAATCGATTGTTCCGGAAGCCCCAAGTTCTCAACTGTGTAGACTTCTGATAACTGATACACCTTTCTACTCCCAGGTTCCGAAATACCTAGCTTAACGATTTGAGTTGTAGCCACTTTCTTGTTGATTCCGCTGGTCCACTGCATGCACAAGGATTGCACCTTGCCATCGACCCCAAGTTCGTCAGCTATTGATTGCTCTAGGAGAGTTGTAGATGATCCATCGTCAAGAAATGCGTAAGTGTCGATAGTGCCTGTCTTGCCGTACAACGTGACCGGTAGTATTTTGAATAAGGTCGACGTAACTGGTTGTCGGTGGACAGTGACAGTGGCATTCGTAGTAGTCAAAGGCTGTTCCGGCTTAGGGTCGTAATGAAGTAGCCGATGGTGACGTTTCTGACATTCGTTTACTCCACAAACTTCGCCTTCACATGGCCAGCGAGTGTGTGCGATCAGACATCTCCGACAGAGTTTCTTTTCCTTCACCACTTTCCAGCGTTCGTTCACTGAGAGCTTCTTGAACTCGACGCACTTCTCTGCGATGTGGTCATGCGATTTGCACAACGGACATTCCTTTTTTGTATCGCTTTCGTTGCGCTTTATGTTCGATGACTCTACCCGTTGATCACCTTTAGGAAGACTGGCAGATGATCCTTGCTTCTTCTTTTCGTACGTAGTATGTGTGTTCACATATGCTTTTTCCTTCGCCTTAGGTTTTTCATCTTTCTGATGCTTTGAAATCGGACAAACATTAGTTATTCTACTAGTAGCGGTCGTGACTCTTCCCATATATTCGCCAAACGTCCTCAAGTTGACAATCGGCTGTTGCTCCTGGTACAGTGCCCAGCTGAATTTGATGTTGGCTGGAAGTTTATCGACGAGCTCTTGTAGTAGAATGGGGTTGGAAAGGTGATTTTCCATTCCAATCGCTTGTAGATGTCCACACTGATTTTGGACAACTAGACCAAACTGGATTAGAGTTTCCAGCTTGTCCGCTCTTGGTGCGGGAGTGGCACGAACTTTGGTCACCATGTGATGCACGATTTGCTCGGGCCTCCCATACAAGGTCTGTAGAGTTGACATAATTTGAGGTACTGTCGATGGGTGTAGCAGAAAGCTGCTCACCGACTCCTTTGCGATTCCTTTCAACGAACGTTGTAGACGCAGCAAATTTTCCGAGTCTGAATAGCCACATGCATCTGTTGAATGCTGGTAACTACTTACAAAGAGAGGCCATTCAGTAGGATCCCCAGAAAACGTGGGGAGTTCCTTTGGGATCACCTGTCTAGCTGCTAGCTGTTGACGCGTAGGTCCGTATTGGGCATTCAAGAAATTAGTCCTACCGAAATTGTCTAACCCTGGAGGGTGGTATTGATTAAACTGCGTTACATTTGTCGGCCCTATCTCTCGATTTATGGTAAAAGTGCAAGGTGTTCCTGCTCTACCCACCGTACTAATGACACTAGGACAAGGTGTCTTTCTATCCGCATACGCTACAGAATCTGCTTCGAAACTATGAAATCGAGAATCACTCACCATGGACGCCAGAGATGTACCACTTCCCGTGGACTCCGGTAATGCTGCATGTGATGGATGTCCGATTTTCTCTCGTAGAAGAACCGATTCCAGTTGCTGAGCAAGCTGCTGCTCTCGTTCTTTAAGTCGCCGTAGCTCTTCTTCTCGCGCAGCATGTTCTTGCCGCCGTTTGGTTTCCAGTGCCTGATATCGTTGCTGACTATCCTCTAGTTGTCTTTTCAATGCGTTTTCCACTTCCTGTAGCTGTTGCCGCTCTCCTGCACGCTGCTCCTCCAGTCGATTCAGTCGGTTTACAAGTTCTATTTCTCGCCTTCGCCTCAATTCGTTCTCCTGCTGGTGTTCTAGTTCCATGTGACGTTGCCGTTTCAAGTTCGATTCAATTTCGTGTAATCGATTCTCTAATTCCTTCTTCTCGTCGTATGCTTGCTGCAGTTCCGCTTTGCCACGCTTTTGAAGTTCATTTGTCTCACGCGTCCATTTTTCAAAGGGGGTAGGGCGAGAGATAGGGTTCGTTAACTTTCCGATGATCTTCGGGTTCGCACCGGTATTCGGTCGCTTCAAGGTCAGTTCAATACTTGGAAAGTTTGGTCCTGACTCCTCCAAAAGCCGCGTGTATGGTTGAATGTTTACCAAATGCAACTTGGGGAAATCTTCCTCCGGACTGTCACCAATAGTGATGCTCTCGATCGTACGGGGTACAGATGCCCGTTGCTCGTCAGCAGCTGGTTGCTGATTTCCAGCAGTGATTGCGCTACCACCCAACGGAGTAGACGAACCAACAGGGATAGACTCTTGTGGTTCGACCGACTCTGGAATGTTTTCTTTCTCACTACCACCGACGGCGCCGGTGCGGGAAATATGCTGCTCAACCCATTTCTCCACCTTTAGTATACTACTACTGCTACTACGACGACTCACAAAGCTCTCAATGTCATCGTCCTACTGGCGGAGCAACTCGTGCTTTCTAGCTATGAACTGCTTTTCCCGCTCCAGTTTCTCCTTAGCGGCTTTCTCAATCAGCAACTTCTCCTGCTGTATCCGCTCCTGTTCTACCTGCTCTTCAGCTCGCCTCTCGTCCTCCAGACGTTGGATTTCACGGTCAATGTGGGACCTACGACCGCTTGTAGCACTCGATCGACCAGATCCCGACCTAGCTGATCGCTCTGGTACTCTCTTCGACGAACACTCCGCACAGCAAAACTCCTTCGAATGGACAGTATTCGTATCCACCCTCGCGCACGAAAAATGGTTCCAACGCTTGCATCCTCCGCATTGGACCATATACAATTCTGCATTGTTGGGTTGATCACATACAGCACAATCGAGATCCTGTCCGTGCTCAAAATCGATCATCGAAGGCATAAATCCATCCTCTGTCAGGTCCAGATCGTGTTCAGAAGTACTAAGATGTTCTTCACCGAAGAGATTAGACTGTTTGGCAGCCTTGGTCTTGGAACGAGTCTGACGAACAAACGATTTCTCCATTCTCGGTACTCTATAAATCTTTGAGATTATGTTGAAATTATTTCGGAGGTCTTCAAAGCAACTCGTCTGTGTTCCCGATCAAGATAGCTCAAAGCTGTAAATTTATTTAAGGTTAGGATAGCAACAATATAAATTCATGTTTTCTTACATTTAGTCTCCTTACACAATGTACCAATGAATGTAACAAATAAAGAATTCAATTTTCTCTTATCCAGTCTAGAAACAAGAATATAAATCAAATAAAAGGTACTAATTTACTGTAGTATAATATTTACGTAATAATATATAATGTTGCACTCGATTCACCAGATAATGACAAAGCAATTCTACATTTGACATTTGTATCGTCTGACAATTCGACAGACATTTATCCTATATATTCTTCTCGTTCACGAATACTCTCACGCTGAAACAAGGGACCGCCCGGTGACTGCATTAACCACAACAACAGGAGATTCCGTTGTGAGATTCGATTAAATTAGAGGAATTTATGATATTTGATTTTAAGTTCCATGACATATCAAACTGTATTTGAATTTCTATGTAACCATATAAATGGTTTCTTATTTAGTATTTACAAGTCACTATTTGGTCACTATTTCCGTAATTTTAGTCACTAAAGTCACTACTATTATATCGCATCAGCACTACCAGCCCTGATAGAGCTGGAATTAGGACGTAACAGCTTTTGTAAATAATGACTACTATCGATGATTTCTAGGAATTCAAGGCACGTCCGAGAATGTTGGTTTGCGTGGGCGAGCCTTGAATTTCTAGAAATCATCCAGAGAAGTCATTGTTTACAAAAGCTGTTAGGCCCTAATTCCAGCTCTATCTAGGCTTATACTTTTGTGCAAACAACTTGCTATTGATCCGCAAGAAATCAACTTTGATAGTACAGTATTTACATTTGTCATATTGATTCTTTACAAATATACAGTCAACTCTCCACAACTCGATATCGAGCTATAGAACCATAGTAAACTGTGATAGCGATGTTGTATGAGATTGTTATTCCATAACTCGATGGTCCCTTGAATATCGAGTTGTAGAGAGTTCACTGTATGTCGATAATTGCAGTAAGGTACATATAGTGCTTTAAATGCATAACATTAATAAAAACGTCTAGAAGGCTCTAAGAAATATCCCGTGATCAAGCCCCCAACAGTCTGCTGAAAGTGCACTAAACATTGTATGCATTTTATAACCTTTCCGAATAAGAAACATTCTTATCGCATCACCTTTAATCAATACTCATATAGAAAAAGCCTGTTATCTCTCTTTGAATGTCAATGTCGGCCTCCCGACCGATTCAACATTTGGCTTAATGGCTCACCTTGAGTCACTGTTGTCTTGTGGCATCCTCCTCCTTACTTCAAGTCGCTTATCTACGCGTCGTTGCGTGTATGATGACGTTGCCATTTCGCCGTTCCCTGCTGAGTCATCATGCTACTTTAATGTTGTCTTTAATTGCTCATGGAACACTGTTTTATTGCTTTTTGTTTGCAGCTACCCCCTGCTCAACATCCCCCTTCCGGGGACGATCCCGACCAAGGTGATATTCCCGTACACCGAACAAATTGGCCAGAATCTACACCTGACGAATGCCAACGCCAGCGGTACCAGCCCATCCGATCTGTACAACCCGTTTAACTTTAATGGTAACAATTTTTTCAACATCTACAACATCAGCCTGGAACCGCCGTTCCCATGGGCTCGAATCGATCCACTGCTGTACGTGCAGCAGATCATCATGCGATCCAGTGTAGTACCCTGGGAGGAGGACCTGCAGCTGACGGACGCCTTCCGGGGGCCGATGTACGAGGTGTTCAAACTGATCGAAATCATCCGGAACCACGAGGACGAGAGGTGAGGCTTTCAACTGTCAGGTGTTTGTCTCTTCTTTATCTATTTAACTGGCGCATTTTTTTTTCTTTTCGCAGCAAAACAACGCTGAGTCATCTGTGTTTGCATGTGGAGAATGTGAAGCGGTCCTCGCAGCAAATGCTATTTCCGGAGTACAACTGCTTGCTGCTGTCGCCGGCGAACCTATGGCAACAGAATATCCAAAGTTTCAACAAGGACAGCAGTTTGCTCAATACGATTTACGTGAATCACGTGAGTAGCTGGCAACAGCAATATCTCGTTTTATGAAGAAAACAGTTTATTACATTTGAATCTGGTTCCATTTTAGAACTTGCAAAAATCCAAGGTGTCTACCTCGGAAATGCTGTTCGGGATCACCCTTCGGGACACGGGTGTAAAGCGCTATCCGATGCGAGCTCGCTCCCGGATAATCCAGTATGCCGTTACGTTGATCCTGCGCGAGAACAATCCGGCCTACATCAACTCGTTAAAGGAAAAGCTTACGAAAACCTACCCGCTACATCAGCCGATTTCACCGGATTCGAAACAGCAAACCATTCGGGATCAGTCTTCGATCATGTACATCTTCTACCCGGGCGAGTTTGACTGGAAAGAATTCCTGCCACAGTGCATTGCGATCGTGATGCTGTTCCTGTATGTGTATTTCTCGGTGCGGAAGATTGACGAAATTCGATCGCGACTGGTATTGGCGTCCAGTGCTGTCCTGACCGTACTGGGAAGCTTGCTAATGTCGCTGGGAATGTGTTTCTTCTTCGGGTTAACCATTAGTTTGCAGTCGAAGGGAGTCTATCCGTACCTGGTGATTTTGGTCGGGTTGGAAAATGTGGTGGTCATTACAAAGAGCGTCCTCACAACGGATAGTAATCTGGACGTAAAGATTAGGGTGGCACAGGGATTGTCCCGGGAAGGGTGGTCCATCACGAAGAACCTGCTGACGGAGATAACGATTCTGACGGTTGGGCTGTGTACGTTCGTTCCGGTGATTCAGGAATTTTGCATCTTCGCTATCGTTGGCTTGGTTTCGGATTTCTTCCTGCAGGTGATGTTCTTCTCGACGGTGTTGGCGTTAGATATCAAACGGGTGGAGTACAGTGCGGAGGTTCGTCAGCTACCGAAGATGTTGTACTACAATAGCGATGTGCGCAGGAATGTGGTGGATGGCAGTCGGAATGGAGGCATCAGTCGTTCAATGTCGCATCCGAAGCTGTCCGGAATGGACCAAGGAGGGGGCCATAAGAAAAACAGTTTAACCACGTCTGGAAACGGAAAGGATAAGAAGATACCAAAGCGCTTGAGGATAGTGAACTTTTGGGCGCGAACGAGGTTATTCCAGAGAGGATTCATGATCTGGATGGTTCTGTGGATCTCGAATATCATCTACAATTCCGGGTTGATTGAGTTAATGATCGATAAGAATCTTTCGGCACATCGTGCCGCTAGCGAAGCTAGCAACATTGACATTCCGATGAATGATATGCATGATCTCAGGTCGGCGGAAGCCGGACAGCTAAACTATAACCATTTTGCGGAAGGAGAACTCCCCGGGAACAGCGAACGAATTTTGAACATTACGGAACAGTTGAATCGACTGAAGCATCCGGACTACGAAACCGTGTACCATTTGTCCAATTTCCATTGGTCGTCGATCCTGAAGCAATACAATATATCTCTTTCCGGAAGGTACGTAACCGTGTTGCCATCTATAAAGCTTTCACACGCGGTGAATCCACAGGTCGCTTTGAAGTTACGTAATTCGGAAGAGAAGGCTCCGCATCATTTCCAGTGGAAGGCTCTGGCAGCTGCTCTGGATCCTCTGGATTTGAACGACGTTGACAATGGCGATACGCCGAGTATGAACACTAGCAATGCACCGTTCTATCCGAAGACTCCGATGGAGATTCTGCTGAGTTGCATGTTGATTGCGGTCAGCATTTTCGTTGTCGCCTACACGCTTATAATGCTGTACCGTTGCATGTGTACCCGGAACTATGCCGAGTGGCGTGCCAGTTGGACCGAAAGCGAAAACGAGGAGCCCAAACAAGAACAACGCATCCTGGAGGGTGTCCCCATCCAGGTTAACGGCCATAAGCATCGTATCGAATGCATTGTAACGGACGGCAATATGATTGCTAGTTCTTGCCTTCAGGGGCAGGTAAAAATTTGGGACGTCAGCAACGGTGAACTGATGGCCGAAATCCATCGGGTCAGCCACCTGGACTTGCAGCGGAGAGAAAGCCAGGGTTCACCGAACGGATCGATAATTGTAAAGACCGAACCAACCTGTTCGAACGTTACCGGAGTACAGGAATTATTCCCAGAGCAATCGCCTACCAGTTTCGCCTTCAAACTGAAGAAGAAGCTTCAGTTTAACTTTACTAGTCAAAATCACCAGGATCATCCTCAGCAGCAGCCGAACGCTGTTATGTTCGACTTTGCTGCCCAGTATGACCGCCATTTCACAAGTGACCCGACCAGTCAACAGCAGAGACGACTCTGCAACGGGGGACTAGGTGCGGATCTCCGGAATCGTTTCCTATCAAATAGCGCTGCCCAGTACTACGATGCGGCGGTGGAGCAGCGTAGTAATCGATCACCTCCACCTGCTTCTAGCTATCGGCGGTCGCATAGCGGAGAAGACGAAGCCCATAAAAGTCCCGGTGAAGGTTCGCAACCACCACCGGGCGGAGGAATTGCCGGTGCCAGTGCTACCGTTCGTAAGAAAATCTACCAACCTTCACCAATTTGGTGTTTGGACTTTTTGGATAATCTCATCGTGATTGGGTGTGCCGACGGGCGACTGGAGTTTTGGGAGGGAACGACGGGTAATTTTAAGGTAAGTTTGGATGCTGCTCTCGGTTTAGGCACAAAGGTTTTAAGGTGTTTGATCTCGTTGCAGTGTATTTATGAGACGGAACATACCCTCAATAATGGGGTAACGAACATCAAACTTACTGGTGATAAGGTGATAGCGGCGCGGCTCAGTGGTCGCATCGACTTTCTTCGGTTAGAAACATACACCCAGGGTCGACAGATCGATTGGGGATTTACGTCTGCCTATCGGAGAAGTAAGTTAAATGTATTTGTTGCTAAAGTTCTTGTTCTTAGCCATCCTTTTTAATTTGCAGCTCATGTCCGTACCGGTTCGGCCGGCAGCTTGGGCATGTTCCAAATGGGAGGTTCTTCAGCAGGCAATCCGTCCAGCACACAGCAGCTGAATCATCACACCTCGGAGGAGGAACTTCGGTGCATTCTGGAATTCCATCAACAGGGGCACCAGATGCCGGTGACGTGCCTGGAAGTGGCAGGCGGAACCGTCATGACCGGCAGCCAGGATCACACGGTGAAGGTGTTCCGCCTAGAAAGTCATATGCTGCAATTCACCCTGCACGGACACTGCGGGCCGATATCGTGCTTGTTCATCGACCAGTGGCAAGCCGGAATGGGTGCATCCGGCTGTCAGGATGGATTCCTGTGTGTGTGGGATTTGATAAGAGGTAAAATATGAGGAATCATTTCCGTGGAATCAGTTACCTCTAACGCAATTGATCTCCGTAGGTGCCTGTATGTACAAAATCGAAGCTCATGACGATTCGATAGTGGCACTCGCGTGCTCTCCCAGCTACGTCATTTCGCTGGGGTTGGACGAACGAATACGAGTCTGGGATCGTTTCCAGGGACAACCGCTGACCACGATGACCGTGTTACATGCCTACTCGTCGCTGGTTATGCTGACACCATCACTCCTCGTAACGGGGAAGCCAGGTTAGTTCTGAATATCGCACTTCAAATTTGAATCTCTTCCACCGTATTTTTTGTTTTACTTTCTAAACCATAGGTTCGCTGGTCGTGTGGGACGTACGGACGGGGGAGGTCGCCCGGGAAGTCAAACTGGACTGCTCGAACTCGCAGCTAAGTCCGAAGATTATGCTACCGGCGTGCGGATCGGTGATCTGCGACTACGGGAACCAGATGAGAATCGTTCGCTTCCCGCTGGTTGCTGCGGACAAGTGCGACTAAATCAAGCCCTAACAGAAGACTTATACCAACACACAACAAAACCTAACTAAAGACGGTACATTACAAAGTTATAACACTCAAAGCAAAGACAGAGAATAGTAAGCAGACCCAGCAACTTTTACTAAAGAATTATGAACTAAGAGTAGGTTTCTTCATTAATTTCACTAGCAATAAAAGATACACACAAGAAGCTAATTTATCGCAAAAGTCACGCTCGTATTTAGCTAATATTTATTTGCCGCGTGTATGGAAGATTTCGTTGTAGGTACTCGATTTTCTTTCGCTCAAAATTGTTGATTAAATCGGTAAAATAGGAAGAGAAATAGCAATCGCGCAGCTCTCTAAAACAGTGAAATTTTTGTTTTAGTTATTTATTGTTTTGTTTTCGTGTAAAGCCGAGTTTTGAGATTAAAATTTAGAACCAACTGGTGGACCGAACAATTTTGAAACGGTGATCGTATCTAGGGCCTTTTGAACAGATAAACTGGAATCGCAAAAATCACTCATGGAAATGTTAACATGTATGCATTGCAGCACCAAATGCAGTAGGTAGATAGTAGGGTTATCATTAAAGTAACAGTTATCACGCCACAGGCACATTTCAAATGAATCAAAGAACACATGCAACACATAGTACTTTGTCGTCTACCTGTAAGTGTTGAACGAAAAGGCCTTTTACTGAAAAGAATGCAAACTAACAGACGGTTTTAAAGAACTGGAAGAAAATGAAAGTTAACTTAAATGATTCTTTACTTTGTTCGATTTTATAGTCAGATGTATCCGAAAGCCTTTTTTATATCTTTATTAATGAGATTTTAAGCCACAGGCTAGTTCATCTCCGAATGGTATCCGAAAGCCGTTTTTTATGTTCCTAAATATATTTTTTATTGCCGCAAACGAAATTCTGGAGTAACGCAAGGAACAAATGCATATATCTAGAATTACTAACCTACTTCTTCATCTTAATAAAATCAGACTCAAACTCGTAAACCCCAATGGAGGTGTTGTTCTTCTGGTCGTATTCTACCCAGTCGTCCTCGGACAGATCGATATCCTCAAACTTCGGCCCATTGTCGGTCGCCTTGGCAATCCAACCGGACCGCGGACTGAAATCAACCGGTTCCACCCCACGGCAGTCGAATGCTACGATCGTTTTCAGCTTACCGGAATCGTCCGCCGTGTAGGTAACTGAAATTAGCATCAACCTGTAACTCAGCTCAACAGCGCTCAAGATCACCTACCATTGCTTCCCTCGACGATGTCGATGCTGTTCTCACGGGAGCACATCCGGCACTTCATGTAGAAGTTGAAGCCCTTCGGGTTGCGCGAATCCTCGTTGACGTGTTCGCCCTCGGTGATGTCGTGCCATTTTTCCGACTCTTCGCCGCAGTTGGTGCACTTGATTTTCAGGAAAAACGGATAGTTTGGGTGGCACGTTTTGAGCTCCTCGATGTTCTCGAGGGTGGCCTTAATTTGAAGACCAATTTTTACCATGGTTCTGAGTGGATATTCTTCTACAAAATTTAATAGGAAATCTGTAGTAATTTGTATGGGAAAATGCCGCTCGCCGGTGATTGTTTTGATTTAGATGTCACGTCAGCATCAGCAGCCGCAGTCACGCAATTTTGGCATTGTAGCTACGTCTCGTTGAAGGAAAAGGCACTCATGCTCAGCAGCTGGTTACCCTATTCTCCTTCGCCGGCATGGGCACTCACGAAGTTGTCAACAAAACAACCGAAACGAAAACGAAACCGACGGACGCAGTTGTTTAGCGTCTCCAAACAAAAGTTATTCCGTTCCGGAGAAAAGTGGGTGTATTTTTCAGCGTTTTTTGCAATGAAAATCACGTTTTTCCTAGTTTTTCTTGGTGTTACTTTCATCCGGAATGTGCGGAGTATCAGCGTGGACGATAATGGATACATCATGTTCTGTCCTTGCATGGGTAAGTCAGTTATACAATTTTGCTTCGTTTGCCTGTTTGAGGTTAATGTACCTGCTTAGCAATGTGATACAGTAACAGTTGGAAATTTTGAACGGTGCTTCTTTTCGGGTGCATTGACCAAAAATCCCATATAAAAAAATGCGTTTCGCTGATAGTGCACCATGATATTTTAACTGTAAATCTAGAAAACCGGGACTCAGGGAATTTGATTTTACCTTGAATTCGCAGGGAATTTTGAAATTCTCATATCAATCAACTTAAAAATAAGAATAGAGTATATTAAAGTACGCCATGGAATTTCAAAACATTTTATAATACTACCAACTTTATCGTCCCCGTTATTCACTTTTACTCATTGATCAAAGTAATTATGGAGTGGATTTACGTTCCCTTCGGTAACAGCGTGCGATCTGAAATTCTTATTTTTTGTTCTGTGACATGGATAATTTCTTAAGAATTTTAACCTGGAACATTTTTTTAAATAGCTGATCCATATAAAATCAGACATGGTAAGTCTAGTATCTGGAACGAAAATAAATAGTCAAGACATTGAACATTTTCGAAAAATCCAGATTTTTTAAACTAAGGGACTTGCAACAGTTTCACAGCCATTGAAGTGAAATCTGAGGATTCTTTTCAAGTTAGTTCTCTTGAACTTCAGATGAAGCGTATAAGGAAAATTCAGAGGTGTTTCTGAGTAGAATTCCAAGAGAATCAAGAGTAAGATTCAAAGTAAATTTCCAACAGAAGTCTGAGGTAGGAGTCAAGGTAATTAAAAGAGAATTCTGACATAAATTGCAAAGTAATTTTGAGGAGCATTCTCAGGGACTTGTAAGAACTTAAAGGTTCAAAGCAACCGATCAGCACTCCCCTAATAAAAAAATGCCATAAACGAATGATAACCCACATCATATAACTATTCCACAAATGGGTTGAATGATACCTGGAACACGTCGTTAAGCAAAATAACCATGCACATTTGATTAGGGTCGTGTTTTTTTTTCAATAACCGTGGGGACGTCATTTGTGTTTAGCCCAGGTCCCTTTCAAATTCTCATTATTTATGAACGACTCTTATATTTCACATTGACGGTGGATGTCTTTAAATGACGTTTCACGTTCATCTAGTGGTGTCTGATTGTTATTCGTATAATCGATTAATCGCTTAACGAATCGAATAATCAATTATGTTTAATCGGTTATATCATGCCATTAACTTCTCCAGAGGATCATCACCTATCATAGTTTCAAACATGTTCTGTACTCTCATTGGTGAAAAAAATGACAGCACAGCGAACAAGAACCTAACACTACTGCGACCAGTAAATTGATCTATTGCAGTATATCCCGTGTCCTTAGTTTAGTGCATGTTGTATTACTCCATCACTTTTGAGAAATGATGAAGACTTCATAGTATTCGATTTTTTACAGTTGCCACTCTTGCGCCACTCTAACTGAAAGGTCCCGCTATTTATACCCTTCGGAGTGTTGAAACACCCTCCAAAGGCGCGCCCCTTTGTCAGTCAAAATTGGATTCCTTAGCAACAAAATTAAGGTATGACACCGATAATGGCCATGCATCAGAACCCTAGTCTTAAGGAGGTAGTCCACTCTGGCGGCATGAAAAATAGGTCATTTTCACGAATTTTTTTTTTGAGTGTAAATAACGATCAATAAAAAAAAAGGAATGCATGGTTTTGTCAATTGAAATGTCCTCTTTAATTGAGATTTTTTTGGCGCGATTGGATGTCTCCTGTAGCCGCTGCACCAGGTTCCCCAGGAGACCTCCCGTCTGAGTCGTCGCGGGGCGGGACGTCTGGCGTTCACACCACTGGAGCTGGAACAACGATTTTTTTGTGGTTATTCTCTGATAAATGACCCAGTCTTGTACGTAGCCGTTTTTGATTTGGTTGAAAAATAAAAATTTGGCGACGTTTTGAAAAAAAAAAACAGTCCGTTTTTGTACCCTAACATTGGAGATAAAAGCTTGCACCAAAAATCCATATTTGATTCTTCTGAAAATCGGCTACGTACAAGATTAGAAAAAAAGGTACTTAACTCGAAAATTCAATCACCGTTTAAATCGAATGAGCCGTTTCTAAAATACAGCGCCCGCCAATTTTGAAAACATCGTTTAGAGATAATCGCGGCATCAGTTGGAACTACTAAGACACGCCGTTTCGCCGGTAACGGGCGGGTACTCCAATGGCTCACCTGAGCGCGCTTGGAGCGTCTGGACACGAGTCCACTAATCGGCCTATAACTTTGGAACGATGTCACTTGCGGACTTGCGGTCAAGTGTCAAAGTAGACATTCCAAAGTATTTTTTAAGCCAAAAAAAAAAGATTTTTTAAAATTTCCAGAGTGGACTACCCCCTTAACCACTTCAAACTAGGAAACAACGAATAGAAGATTAGGATTCACATAGATGGCGACAACTAACTCATTTTTTTCCTTGTTTCAAGATCATCCTCGGTAGACAAAGTCGAGTCTTGTCACTATCAACAATTCATAAAAAGTAAGAAGGACTAAGATGTGTTCCTTGGATTACTAAAAATCCTATTCCCCTAGTTTGAAGTAGTCAGGACTAGGAATCGGTGGTAGATCTTACATCCCGTAACGTACCACGAAAAGGTGATCTACCCACGTTACGGGGCAATTCTTTCTTGGTTGTTCATGTTTAGTTTTAACATAAAATATTACCAAAACAAATGAGTTACACATGGAAAAACATAATACATGAGTAAACATTTTGTTGTAAAACGATACCCCTGAAAATAGCAGCTTCTGTTAAGAATCAAGCATTTAAAATTCAAAAATATATTAATTACTATTAATTAAATTTATAATAATTCAAACTATACATTTACAATTTTATCTGTGTATGCATTTTTTTACAAATGTAGTTTTTTAATTTATTTTTTCGGTCTAGAATCTAGAATGAAAAGAGCTATCCTTACATCAACCAAACAATTTACAGATTCTGCTAAGGATATTCTTTAAAATTCATGTCGTTAAATATTTAAATAATTGTTTAACTTTTAATAGTTTTGATTATCAAGCTGTTCTTTTCAAACAGTTTATGGCACTCACGTTAGGTAAACACGTTTGTAGTACTTAATAATTATTTTACCGAAAATAGCATTTTTTTTAACGTAGCTATTAAAAGGAAAGTTTCTTTAATAACCTGGGAACTTTCTGTTGAAGCCAGTACCTATTCAGTCGTGCAATTGATAATTATAGCATCGAGCAGTCTTCTAAAATATGTTTATAAGCTTTCAGGGAAACAAATGAAAGGAGTAACCAATCAGTTTAAACTTGCGGAGTAGCATTCAAAGAGGAGAATTCCATGGCAAATGGCAAAGTAATTTTGGGAAGAACTCTATGAGCTTTGTATGAACTAAAATTTAATTCAAAGAGAATTCCTAGGTATCTGGGAGTGAATTCCAAGAGAAAAAGGAGAATACAAGCGGAATTCCATAGCTACTCTTAAGGGAAATTTTCCCAGCTACAACTTTGCGGATAATCGTTTTTCAGTGGAACGTCAAATTAAAAAGTTATTAATTGTTTAACAGATTGTGCCATGATCAAGCAGCTGTTTTGTGGCAACACTATATTCTGCAATGTGACAGTGACATACACTGAACGAAAACATCCGCAATACTTTGAATGATTATTGAATTGTTTGAGCTCTTTAACAGTATGCATTCGAACTTCGGGTTACTGCCTTATGGTTGAATTCTCCATCAGCTGATTAGTATAAATACCAGGGTTGAAAAATTTCACGATATTTTAAGAAGTTCACTAAGGGAAAAGTTCGCAAATCATTGTGGGTTTTGGTGAATAAACTGATACATATACACTGAAGCAACGGCGCCGGTGGTGTAGTGGTAAGCGTGATTACCTCTCACCCCAGCAGGCCTGGATTCAATACCAGTCGGCGCCGCCGGGATGTTCTGAGGCATAACATCTCTGATCACGCCTTCCTTCGGATGGGAAGTAAAGCCGTTGGTCCCCGGTTCATGAGTTGATGGGTCGATAGGTAGGGTCCAGGTGTGGGAGCTGCCTTCCTGGCACGTCGGTAGCATTGGTGCTCAGCACGGAAAACAAGATCGACGGAAAAAACAAACCAAAGGAAAAAAAAAAAAATATACACTGAAGCAAAAGAACCTATTTTGCCGTTTGAAAAATAATGTCTGCAAAAAAATAATAACACGGAGCAGACTGGAACCGAAACATGGACGTGGAGATTACCGGGTTTGTGTGTTGACCATTCGTCTTTCAACACTTGAGGAAATTAAATGGTTAAAGGCGTATAAGAGCATTCATAAGTCACGCTTATGAAATTCATATGTTTCATTCATTAGTCGAGCCTCATGAAATTCTTAAGTTTATTTGCCTCAGTGTATGACTGTCAAACAAATAAAGGATGATATTTATTTGAAAAAAAAATCTGTGTTCACTCGGCTGTCGACAGAAGCAGGCCACTCTCGATGTGTGTCACGCGATCATCTGTTTACTCGGCAGCAACCATTGTGTGGTCCTTCTCATTGTTCTTCATCAGCAAGTTCTTTTGGTCGATGCGTCGCCGACTTTTGAAAGTAACCGTTTCGAGATGAGTGTGTGAGTGATGATCACGTTTTGCGTCCATTGTAGGAAGTGCTCAGCCCCCTGTTGGTGATATTGCCAATATTGCCATATAATGAAACCACTGGAACCGGCACCCGTTAGTATAGAAGAGGCTTATTGGATAGCGGGAGATAACGTGTTTATTGTGTTGTACCTTTTGGCTATAGTTATAAATATACACACTAAGATTTTTTTACAGGAGTCAGTATTTTTTTACTGGGTTTTTGAATTGCTGAGAAAGTCGGTAAAAATTCAAATGACCGTTATCCGTAAGGAATCAATGAAATTGACCAATTTTATTTTCTATCATTAAATGGGGTTAACAGAACTAAGTATGTACAAGTTTAGAACAAATTTTCTCATTAATAAAT